CGCCGCGCCGTGCGTATTTATCCCGTTCAAAGCAATCCAGATCGTTCTCGAACACTAACGCGCTGGTCCGGCTGGTCGGTTCTAGCCGATTCTAGCTTGATGGCGTCAGCGGCAGATCGCTCACCGCAACGTTGCCGCTGTTTATGTTTAATATTATGACAATTAGATTTTTTTGTGGAATTTTCGGAAGCTTCTCTGATTTTTGCAGTTTGTATTTTTTAAATTGAAATCGTTGTGAGAGCTACCAGAATTGCCTCCGCCAGATACCGGTAGCTCGCGATCGACAGGTTGGCGATCACTGCTCTAATTGTACTCTCAATTTTAGGATGAAACTAACAATGGAAATACAAAATAAGTTGCTGATGCCAAGCATATAGTAGTTGAGAAGAAGAACAAAAACAGTAATAAATCAAGAATTCAATCAATACTCGTTGAAAAGTTTCGTTGAGAGACTGATTGACATGAATAAAGTCACATTACAACATCAAAGACAATCTTGAAAAGAAACGTCATTACATAAATAGTAATTTCCTGATGGAATGAATATTTTTATATAATTGTAAAACAAATTTCGGATGGAAAAGTGAAAGAGAAAACGGATATAATCAGTGACATGTCTTCCTTATTTATATAGTGGGCCCAGTTAGAACCGTGTAAAGGAAAACTCCTGTTTTCAAGCTAGATTTTAAGAAAATTGATGGCTGTTTCTGAGGGTAAAATTTTATGAAAAACTCATGCACATTTTCGAAAATTCGCTGTAACTTTTTTTACCGTCAAAACTTTCTTGTTTCTATGAAAACATTTCCAAAGCATTTTCAACGAAAAATTCAGTGAACTGAAACACTCGTTTTTCCAAATGAGATATCAATAGTTATTGATGGAAAACTATTTTTCAGTGAGACACCCTATATATTCCTGCATATTTCGATAGAGCTCAAAATCACCTCTCCAAAAATATAGCACACTTGATGTTTTGCTAAAGTCATCTTTGAAATACAGAGCTTTCAAGTATTTCCATTGAAACTTTGAAACGCACACTATGACCAAGAAGGCTTTGGATGAAGCGACGATGGAACAGAATGCAAATCTTTTCCTGTAGCTATAAAATTTTCATTTGAGCAGTGAAGACGCTTTTCAATAAGTTATTTTTGTAGAATTTTATNCTATGGTATCATCGGCCTCTGTTCCTAATTCAATTATACAACCGCGACAGTTTCAAGAAAGTTGAATCATCGAACGTGAGTAGGAACTATTGGAATTTTGAGTATATCGGTATGTACAAGAATGAAACACAACAATAAGGAATTAGCAAGTCAATAGTATTAAAGATATATAAAAGATTATAATAACTGTATCTCACAAATGTTTCCATTTTGATCACATTCTGTTTCGAAGTATAGAAATTGGATTTGAATACTTTTTAATTTTATGATTATGAAATTTGATTTGTGAATGAGTGTAGTCAAAAATTCTTTTGTCAAGTAATCAATATAAATCTATGGAATATATTGGGAAACTTAAAAAAATGAAAATTGTTGTTTTCAGAATCACTGTCGTGAAACGACCTATAGTAAATACTGAATAGAGAAGATTCTTACTTTTTGAACATTTCTTCATTGTAGAAAGTGGGCAAGTCCTTGTGGTTGCCGAAATATTCAGGTCTTTCGTCATGATGACACCTATGACCCTCTGTTATAAGGTGTTCAACGAATTTTTCAGCCAAAAAAACTGGGAAAACAAAATAGTCATTCATGTATGAAGTAAACAAGCAGATTGTTAAGGTTCTGAGGACATAAATATTTATTAATAACAACGGTTCAAACAGTTATAGTAGTCCGTTATTGAAATACGAAATGAACTCTTGAGACTACAGTATTCAAAAACTTATTCAAATCACAGGTATCTCACTCAGAGCAATCAACGAAGAACCAAGTTTCTCTGAATAAAATAAATAAAATACATTTTTATGATGAACGGCTTCATATAAAATAAAAGATAATAATGATGTGGATAATGTACTGAAAGATGAAAAATAATTCGCATGGTCCTAGTTAGCACTATTAGCAGTCATCACACCACCCTCCCCAACAATCTACAGTATTGGTAGAATCAAAAATAATAAAATTGTTGGCGTAGTGTCTACATATTTACTCAGGTTACGCTGCGCCCAACGATTTCATTATTTTTTATTTGAACAACACCGTATATTGCTAGCGAGAGTGGTGTAATGACTGGTATCTAGGACTTTTCAATTTTTTCAATCTTCCAGTACATCATCTATATCATTTTTATTTTTTTATTTTTTTACTCATATTATTTTCAAGTTTTCAGTTTTTGATTTTGTAACTCTTCTCATTCTGTTTAGTTTATTTATTGCCTCAGTAGTACAAGGTTTATTTTCCGACAATCTGTTGCAATCTACATTCAAGGTCGATGAAACTGAGGCCAAACAATTTCTGCAATGTAGTCGATAGCACTGTTTACCAATTTTGCCGATATGTCAATATTGGATCGCAACATTCCGCGATAGTTGTGAAATAATACGTAATCCGCCATTTCGCAGCTGCAGCCATCTTGAATTTTCATCTTTTTCAAAGTGTACCACTATTCTACTAGTCAAGCCCTGTTATTTGAAACCCAAATTGAGGTAGTTGTGAAAAATATGTAATCCGCCATTTTGTATCTGCGACCATCTTGGATTCACAATAATAAAGAATTGATTGAATTGTGTTGAAGAATTGGTTGAGGCTCTCGCGGCCGAAATTTTCAGTGTTACTATCTTTATTCGGGTTTGAAGACCGTCGTAGTTCGGAACTGCATCATAACGTTTCGCCAGCAAGAGTGCCTCGCTTCTTCAGAGGTTTATTCATCTTGATGATTCACCGATGACTGGTGATTTCTAGTTCGTAGGCTGTATTTATGTTGACTCAAGTAGTCCGCCTCTCTTGTTGATGTGTTGCTATTGGCCGAAGTGTCATATCTGTTAATGACGTAATATTGCATTGCGCTATTGCCACTTTAGCATTTTTAGTATGAGATTCCAAATACAGTTGAGCGTCAACGCCTCCACTTTCCTGTTGCAGTTTTCCGTATGTTTATGAACTTCTATGGCTTCCCGTTCAAGCCGACTGAAGTATCCATGATCAGGGGCAAGTAGTTTCACATCTTCGAACAGTATTGTGTGATCTTCAGTAAGCGCGTGTTCCACTACTGCCGATTTGTCTATATGACCTAATATACAGTTTCTCCGATGTTCATTTAGCCTTGTACCCATGGATCTTTTGGTGGTACCGATATAAACTTTTCATCAGGTGCATGGTATACGATATATGCCTGCAGCTGATAGTGGATCTCTTTTGTCTTCCGCAGATCTAAGGCTTTCTTGTATTTTCTTGGTAGGCTTGAACACTGTTTTTATTTTATGCTTCCCTACATTTTTTCCGATTATGTTTGTAACCCTAGGGATGTATGGTAGAAATGTACGTGCACCCGTTTGAGTTTCCTTTCTATTTTGACTTCTGGAAGTCTTCAGCAACTCGTGCTGGTGAAATGTTAGGATGCAGTTTCAAACTACGACGGCCTTCAAATTCGAATGAAGATAGTAACACTTCAATTGTATTGCCATCAAAACTGAATGTGAGTACAAAATATCAGATCAATCAATCAACAGAAGGTTAAACTTTCACTAAATTCGACCCAAACAAATTAATAAATGAACAAACAAACAGGGAAAACTAAAAAAAAACCATTTGAAAACAATAATCGGCATGTTTCGAAAACGTTCGGTAATATTGTACATTCAGTTCATGATCAATTCATGGTTCACTTTCTGGGCGCATTGTATGAAATGCATCTCAACTAAAACTTCCAAAACTAAAACTCTCCGGAACCAAAGAACACATTTCAATTCCACAAACGATATTCCATAGAATTTTGTTTTTAATATCAACAACTTCCAAATGCGGTTTATTTCATAAGGCATGAGGCATGCATAAGGCATGAAATAGTTCAGATCATTAATGGGATCAACTAACCGTATTGTTCAAAGTTTTGTTCTCAAAAATGGTGATTCATGCCATTTCATAATGAAATATCAATATTTTAAAAGTTCAGCAAAAAAATAATTTCGATTTTTGAATTTCATGAAAACGGTTCATTTTCTCGAAAAGTTCCGATTAGAACACGTTGATGAATTGGTGTTGAGAATATTCTCTATCAATTTAAAAAACCTAATAGTCAGCAACTGCTCAAAATTTTTCAAAACATATTTCTTGGAATCCTAAAAATTCTAAATCGTTTCAAATGACCAAAATTGTTCTATAAAATAAATGTTGCTCAGATCTGCAGATCTCATTTCTAATGGTAAGTGATTGAACAACCTACTATCATTATAGTATATGGAATCCTTGATTAAATCCGAAGTTGGGATGGGAAGTCTGAAGCTATAACGAGTAGCATAAGGAGTAGAGGCAAAGTTGAACTTCAATTTATGTTTATAAATGAAGCAAACCGTCTCTAGGATAAAAAATGCGATGACTGTTGAAATTTCACTTACAGTGAACAAGTTCCTGCACGATTCTTTGAGTTTTACTTCACATAGAAATCTTATTGCTATAATGACGTCATCACGAAAGTATATGTTTGGCACTATTTTCATCTATTCACAGATGTCATGACTTTAATATCATTCAATGATCGATATTCACTAAAGACAATGTTCAACAGACATTTCTATGAATAAATCCAACAAGTGTCCAGCAGTTATCAACATCTTTCTGATATACTCGCCAATAGGAACTTTTTTGAAATTCAAAGAATGGGTTACGTACCTTGGTCATTTTCTGCAACTTCCTCAACATTCATGTTAAATAAGATTATATCACTCACGGATTTCAACCAAAAGAAAAACCATCTAACTATATGTATCTGAGCTTTCGACGAAGTTGACTCAATTGGTGTTTTCAGTAATTATCAAAACTATTTCATAACACACATCAGAATCTGAAAAAAAAACGAAACAATGACGAATCTGTTTATGAAGAAGCCATGAAACAATATCTCACACTTGAGATTAAAGTTATCCTCCCTAATAGAAATGAATCCCTCATAACCTGTTAACATAACTTAATGAAAACAATTTGAAATTTTTCAGTAACTGTGTTTGAAATTGTTTTCCTTTATTCTGTTGTCATTACGTGAATTTCACGAAATGGCAACCCAAAATTTTTACATCGAAAGTACACTGTAGATTTGTTCGAAGAATTTTGAAATTCAAGATTAGGTGGATAGTAACATATGTTTTGATAAAAAAACAAAAATAAGTTTTATACACATGATATGTGAATGTGAACGTAGAGGTGAACGCAAAGATAAACGCAAACGTAAAGGTGGAGGCAAAGGTGAAGGTGAAGGTAAAAGTAAAGGTGAAGGTAAAGGTAAACGTGAAGGTAAAAGTAAAGGTGAAGGTAAAGGTAAACGTGAAGGTGAACATACGTAAACGTGAACGTAAACGTTAACGTGTAGGTAAAGTTAAATGTAAACGTAAATGTGAATATAGACCTGAAACGAAAATTCACTCAAGTCCAAATATGGCTCCTATTGGAATACATTTTTCAGTTATTGAATTTCAATCACATTTTCGAAACAGCAACGTGGAAAAGTTCATATATTTTGAGATATTGCAAAATTTATGGTGAAAATAAATTTTTGAACTGTACTACCTACGAATTTATGTCAAGTTTTTGAAGTTGATGTACGTCTTCAAGTTCTATATACAAATAATTTTCATCTGCATCTGCTGATGTAGAGGAAGCTGAATATGTTAAATCTGTAAGTCCGTATTGAAGAACGGTTGATAATAAAATACAATGAATGAAACATCGCATTGAAAGTTGGTTGATACCAAATCATGAAAAACAAAAAACAATACAGGAAGTTCTTTAACACCACATCTTTTGAAATAGAGTCCGTAGAAAGAACAACTAAAAACCGATAATTTCAGTTTTTGCGAAAATCTCAAAAGCGATCATTGATAGACATATTATGAATGACAATTTACTATTCCTCCAGGTAAAAACTTTCGTATAATTCAATTAACTTGTAGGTGAGTCTTATAATTTTCAGGAAAATAATATTGTTGGATCAGTTGAATGAATATCTGAATAAAAACTACACAAGACGCAAATGAAGATGTGACCATAAAATTTTATATAATTCGAGGTCAAGATTACTAAAACGGGTTGAAGTGTATACTAAAATGCATGATTGCAATTTCTGAAAAGTCATCTTACCAATTTTGTAGACACTATGGTAGCCGTTATTTGGTTAACAAAATATTTACAGATATGGCAGCATAGACAACATATTTCATTGTATCATTGTGCCCGACTAGAGCTATAATTATTTTTGTAGCTCTTCACTGAAATAACTGGCTGGAAAATGTAATTCAAATAACTTATTGGAAATGAACCGCACTTGACTACCTCAAAAAGAAATTTAAAAAACTGTAGACCTGTAGAACATCGAATTATATGAATATAAATAAACAGCACACAACGAAACTCAGTTTCACCTCATTCTACGAGAATTGTAAACACATTTCAGATATGTTATATATTCCAGCTAAGATACAACAGATATGAATATGTCAAGTGATGTCAACAAAAAATAAAGTGGAAATATTCAACAAAAACATCAATAATCACGATATAATGCAATAATGCACTGTCATATATCGACAATATGAAGTGATCGGATGATTGTTGTTCAAATACATCAAAAGTATTTCTTCATTTGTGTTAGTTCTGTTGGAACAGTTATTTGAGTATTTTGTTGGTACAGAAAGATTTTGAGTCTCTACTTCTCCATCTTTATACTGTAACATTCCATTTTTCTATTTTTCATTTCAAATTGTTTGGGACAAAATCTGAACACTAATCTAATCTGCCACTTTTCGATTTTATATTGTAACATACCTATTATTCAAATTTCTATTTAATACTTTTCCAGACCTGGGATTCTTTGGCAGTCTACTGAGCAGTCTACTACACCAAATAAATCATATTCAGAATGTTGACATTAATTTGAAGTTCATATTGCTTATTTTGATTATTTTCATTCATGTTAGGATTAAGTATACAGATACAGGTCAACAAGGACTCCTCTTCTTTGGTTCAGTCATATAGTTCATTTCCATAGTATACTGTAGAGTGAGAGGTGAGGTGAGGAGATATTCACGTTTAGTGATGCCATACTTAAGATCGGTGGGCTTTGCGGATATGAATAATGTAACAGGTGGCAGAATTGTCAGAACTCTGAACCGATACCGATTTTATGTGTGGAGGGTGGAATTTTGAAAGGGTCTTTTCTGTGCCCAGCTTCGTATAGAGAACACGTAGTGATAATTTAAATACGATTTTTGAAAATTATCCGTCAGAATAACTTCCAAGTTATGAATTCTGACAGACTCGTAAAATTGCAAAATCATAAAAAGCATTCATACGATCATAAGAAATATAAAAACCAATAAAAGTATAGGAATCACTTATAGCATAAAATCATGAAAAAATTGAATAAATTGGAAATAACGAGAAGATCATCTTCGACGTGTCTGGCTGAGGTGGTTACTGCTAGATACTGCTGGAGTCACGGATCTCACGAATCAGAGGAGTTTATTTGGAGGAGTGTAAAGCGATAACTTTAGGTTTTTTATGAAGTTGTGAGGTTCAGTGTATCCAACCCTAGGGTAAGACCCTGTAGGTACTTTGTTATATTTGCTATTGAAGTCACCATTCATGAAAGTGGAGAAATTCAGAACATTGACACCCTGATTTCTCTATACAATGACCATTTATATTCAATACTGAATACAATTTTTTGTCAATCAATCCATTTTAAGGTTGGGATATGAAAACCGTCTGAAGTATTCCTTGTTTCATTAGTATTTTTTAAGTGTTTTCTATCTCAATTCAATTAAGTTGGTCTACAGTAACTTTATTTCTTGGAACGTCTCTGGATTATGTCCAAATGAGAGCTTCCATTTTGTACCGCTTTCTTGCTGTAGATAAAGAAACGAGTAGGGTAAGGTTATGACTCAAAAAATTTAAAAATCCTCCGAAGGAAAGAGAAAAGCAGCTGATTTCGAAATGAATTATTCACAAAGAGGTGTGGATCATTCAAAGGGGTACCTGTCAAACACAAACTGGAAAAATTATTCTTTTCTAAAAATATAATCCTATAGATTTGAACAAGAGTATTGGAAAAACAGAAAGAATTGAAAGCCACAGACCGGAGGGAACCAGATCCAGATGCTAAATATAAATGAAAAATAAATTCATGGTTCCAATTTGAAGCGACACAAAGAATGATGAGGGTTATTTTTACAACGATTTCATAATGCACATTGTGATGTGTATGTGGATATTTGTATATTACTGAATACTTCTTTGCACAAAAATCAATGTCTTTAATAATGATTGGGTTGACAGTCAAGAATCTAAATTTGCTCGGAAAAAAAATGTGGTGAAAGACAACGAATTCAGATTACCACTTTATTTTCCTACTGAACATATTGTGTTCGTAATGACAACCAAATGAAAAGGAAAGAAATGCAAAGTTCATCGGCGGAGAAAAACAAAGATTGCAGTTAGAAAGGCACTAAGACACATCTTCGTTAATAATAGCCAGATCATCACGCACGGTGCTCTTTATGTAAAGAAAGGAATGCAGGCTGCATAGACAGAGAAAAAACAAAGGACCAGGACCAGTTTACTTATAAGACCACCCCCGACGCAGGATGGCAGAGGGGGCAGTTTACAGGAAAATTTGAAATTTTTGAGTTCAAATGATATTTTATTGTGAAATTTTCACTGACAGTTCACAAAATCGCAACATTTGTTCCACTAGTAAGTGTTCATACTGGAATGAGTATGAGCACACCTAGTGAAATTGAACTTTTCAGTGTAAATCTCCCAATGAAGCATCACTACATCAATAAGTCAACAAAAGAAATGAAAATATAATACGCAAATAATAAACATCCTAGTCAAAGCAATCTATTATAAACGAGTAGATACGGCTGAGATACCTTCTTCAAGAATATAAAAATTGTAATGGAGAATTTTAAACATGTGTGAAAAGGGCAAATTTTTTGCCCCGATAGGTAAATGCCTGAATTCAAAAAATGTTCGATTCATCAGTAACTTGTCGAATTCAATAATTTTGCCTATAAAAAACAACTGAGAAATTATACAATATTCATGTTAACGTTTTGGAGGCTAAAATCTGCCCCTATCTTCAAACGTGGACGAAATTCAAGTTCATACGCCGTTTTTCCTTTACTGATTGTTTTTATTTCTCAACTTCTCCGACATAAGTCGAAGGAAATTTCAAATGTGAGATGTCAATGTTGTTGATTGATGAAACATTCGATGTAGTACAAGTTGTTCTATGATATCAGTTTGTTGCTATTTCGCCACTATTCATCTACTTCTTCCAGACGGGTATGCAAGTACGATCCATTTCTAAAGAGCTGTTCGAAATTCACTCCTCTCCATATATGATGAATTATTCTCGTCTTATTCCATTCAACTCCATGTTCACCATCTGATTATTAGTGTGAAGAGTGTCATGTTTCCTTCGATTACGAGAAAATGCATTGGTGCAACGGTACTTGTTTTGTACCTCATGAGCCAAATTTATGTGTTTTTCGCAAATATTGTGATGCTTGCATCACAAAAAATTTGTAGAAACTGTGGTGTTTTTCTTCAAATTCTCAGGTTCAACAACCCCATCTCTCCATTCGTTCACTATATGTTGACCATAATAAAAAAATTCAAAACTACCATAGTCATCGCCCACAATGG